CAGCCCAGCCTGAGGCAGAGCTTCCTTCCCTGGAGGGGCAGAGCCCTGGAACAGCTGCCCAGGGAGGGGCTGGAGTCTCTGGAGACATCCCCAACCCCCTGGGCACGTTCCTGTGTCCCTGCTGCAGTGACCCTGCCTGGGCAGGGCTGGGCTGGCTGGGCTCAGAGCTCCCTGTGCAAGTTCAGAATGTTCCTCTGCAGACTTCCCTGCTGTCAGTCAGGTCTCTGCCTCTCTCAGTATTCCCATAAGCTGATTTACGTAAGTAAATAGACCATCTGCTTCTTTCAGAGAACTGGGGGAGAGCTTTTCTGAAATATGAGCCACTGACTTTCAAGACTTCAAAGCTGCTTTTTTATTTTTTCTTTTCTGATTGGGAGCAAATATAACCCCATCCAGCCTGAACTGAGAGCCACTAAACTGATCCCAGGAGAGGAGAAGCTGCAGGGAGAGCTCAGAGCCCCTGGCAGGGCCTGAGGGGCTCCAGCAGAGCTGCAGAGGGACTGGGGACAAGGATGCAGGGACAGCACCCAGGGAATGGCTGCCAGTGCCAGAGGGCAGGGCTGGGTGGGATCTGGGCAATGAGGAATTGTTCCCTGGCAGGGTGGGCAGGCCCTGGCACAGGGTGCCCAGAGCAGCTGGGGCTGCCCCTGCATCCCTGGCAGTGCCCAAGGCCAGGCTGGACACTGGGGACAGTGGGAGGTGCCCCTGCCTTGGCAGGGGTGGCACTGGGTGGGATTTGGGGTCCCTGCAGCCCAAACCTTTTGTGATTCCATGGTTTTATGAGTCAGAGAGTGACATGAGGCTGCACTCACTGCTGCACTCACTGCTCTCTCCATGGCTTCTCCACAGGGATTGCTGCAGCTCTGAAGAGGAGGACCAACAAAAGCTCACCAGAGTTCTGACAGAAATGGTTTTCCCCTGGAATCTCCCTGGCAGTGGTAGATCTGCAGAGGACATCCAGCTTTAGAATCGTGGAGATGAGCACATTTTATCACATTTTCCCAGGCAGTGGAAGGTGCTGAAGAAGTAACCTGGCTCTGAGTGTGCCTCATGTGGGAGCCTCCTCTGCTCAGCAGCCAGAGGCCTCCAGGAGCCTGGTGTGGTTCCCAGAGTGGGATTATTGCCAGTGATATCCCTGCAGCATGGCCAGCCAGGATCCCAGGTACACAGGGAGTGCTGCAGACAGGGCCTGGGGGAGCTGAGGGCTTATCAGGGAAAGGAAATCATTTACCAAGGGAATGCAGCGTGCCCAGGGCTGCTCCTGAAGGGAACTCTCTGAACAACCTGCAAAGTCCCAGCCTGCAGGTGCAGCTGCTCTTTGGAATGAATTCTGCCTGAGTGAATGAGCAGAGTGAGGGGAGGAGAGCATCCCCTGAGGCTCTGGGACTGTCACTTGCACAGATCCAAGTTCCTAACACGTACCCAGTGCCTTCCTGCACTCTGAGCACTGGGAGATTGACTTCTCAGATAAAGGGTTTAGTTCACTTGACTTTAACAGATTGCTTCTATCCTGTGTTAATATATGAATATACAGGGTTATGTATTAATATATAGTCATATATAGAGTGTGCTCTTGCATGATTTTAAGCTGGTTGTTTTGTAGAAAAATAATTCCAGTTGTATTTGCAAATAGCGTTAGATTAAAAAGCAGTTAATTTTTGTTAAGCCTGGGGGGAAGATTCTTTAGAAATAGATGCACCTTTGCCCAGCTGACTCAAAACCACATCCTGTGGATATTAATGTTATGGTGGTGTTAAATAGAGTACAAAATAACAGTGAAGAGAAGGATTATTTTAATAGATCTTATGCATTAAAAAATTGTAACAAACTTTATAACTTCTTTGTAATTAATATTTTCCCAAGTGCTCCGTTGATCTTTTCCCTTTTTGGAAACAATTCCTACAATGGTGATGAGTTTATTTCAAACAAAGCCAAGCAAAGTTTGTTTTCATTGTGGTAATGAAGTTGGAGTGAGTGGCATTGAATTTTCAGATACTATGTAAATGCAAAGTTAATATAAATAATTATACAGTGGTTTCTGCTTTATTTGAAGTGGTAGGAGCCCATTCCATGTGGAAAAAGAAAAAGGAAAGGGCTGTTGCCATGGAAATGGACCAAAATTGCCATTAAATGA